CTTCTTGATTTCATTGCCACCCAGGTCTCCACTCTGTTTAGGTTTCACAATACTGACCATGGCTGATTGTTCAAAAACATAATTCTTCATCATCACATTCCCCCTACTCTCTTCCCCTGATACAAAGGCATATGCCTGAGAGAGAGTAACACTGTCCTTGGAAAGGATATGTTGCCTTGCAATATCATATTCGGGATTAAGACCAGCAAGAAATTCAAAGACTATATACTTTTCTAAGAGCTTTTGGTTGGCAGTTGCACCCTTAGTGGTTTCCTAAACAACTGTCTCCAGATGGTCAATCTCCTTCCATAGGGTTTTAAGGGCCAAAAAATAAACAGCAATAGGTCTATCTTCCTTCCTGGTAGCAATAATTTGATTCCTCAACTGATAGGTCCTAGCAACATTTTCACTCTGTGAGTAGGTTTCTACAACCCCTTCCCATTTTTCCTTAGCTGTATTTGCCCACAAAAATTTTTTACTTATATGGGGCAGCATCGAATTACACAGCCAAGTCATTACCATATAATTTTACTGTACCCGCCGGGAGCTGTTAGTCTCGGGTTTCACTTTCTCACCAATGATATACCCCAACTTCCCACGAGCACCAATGGCCATCTTTGCAGATTGCGACCATTCTAAATAGTTTGTACCATCTAACTTAACTGTAGTGATAGTCCTAGCCCCAAAAAGGTCTTTGACACCTCCTCCCACTGGTCCCATTTCACTCCCGGGTTTGTTTTCCGTTACCCTCCATAATTCTCAAAAAAGGGTTAGAAGGTCACTTTAAGATGAAAGAATATGAAATAAATCCCTTCAAGTACCACAGACACCCTTCTGGTAACTTAGATGATCCTCCCACAAAAGATTCCCTTTTTGTGGGATAGGAGAAGAGAGAAAAGAGGCAGCCGCTCTCTCCAGAAACCTCCAAAAAAGGTAGGACTTGAACCGCCCTCTTCAGAAAACTCCAAGGAACCCTAAAAAATTAGGGTGCCACTTCCTAGGTCAAAATTGAAGAGTCCTACAAAAACAAGACTCTCCCCCTTTCTCCAATTCTTCCTGAATTTGATGTGAAACCCTAGACCAGCTACAAGGCAAAACAGATCCACCAAAAAATCCAAAAACTGGGCTTACCTAAGATCTTCGATCAGCCTCTCAAATCACCATGCGGTCAGCCGATCTAGGGATGCATGATAGAGCAGCTCAAGAAGCCTTCGACCTGCTCTGATACCAAGTAGAAGTTGCTGATAACTAATTCTGATGTATACTTTGTGAAGAAAAGTAGAAGACACTGAAAGGTTTCAGCAAGAGAGAAAGAGAGAGAAGAAGAAAAGAGAATGGGATGAAACCAGAGTTGAATAGATCTGGCCGCCAACCCCTCTTTGAATTATATACTTAAAGTAAAATAATGAAAGATTACAAGAATGCCCTTAGTAGGGTGGCTACTTTAAGTAGCTGAACAGTCACAACTTTAAAACATAAACTAATGGGCCTAAAGCCCAATAACTTCCTAACTTAACAACTTAAAAATAAAAAAAATAAATGACTGGGCCCAATAACTTGAAATCAGCCCAACTCAACACCTATCAACCACCACAAAGATAGAATCAAAGCTTTGTTGAGTTCTTAGCAACCTAAACATGAAATTCATACTTATGCCCCATGGTTAAGTTGGAATGGGCAGAGGTTGGTAAAGTCCATAATTTTGAGTTTTACTTTTGGCCCTTTGACATATCATACATTGTTAAACAAACCACTATTCCAATAGGTAAGGCTATTCCACTTATGAGATGCATCTCTAAATTCCTACATGAGATGCATCACATTCTACCTCAAATACTTAATTCAAAATTAGGTAAGGCTAGAATGGGTGCCTTAGTGAGACTTTTCTTGGTTAGATTAAAGATCTCTTTAGCTTCACCTGTCCAAACAAAACTTTTGGACTTCATTCAATCAGTCATGGGAGAAATAACAGGGTTAAAGTTCTTAATAAACCACTTATAAAATGTGGCTATGCCATGGAAGTTTCTCACTGCCGTTATTAACTTTGGGGTTGGCCATTCTATTATAGCTTTGACTATTTCAACATCAGCATAGCCTAAAAGGATTATGTTTATCAGTCATGAATGAACACTTTTCAAGGTTAATGTGTAATTTCTCCTTGTACAAAACCTACAAGACTTGTTTCACATGGTTAATATGTTCATAAGGTAAAGAGCTAAAGATAAGAATGTCGTCAAAATAAACCTCCACAAATTTTCCAATAAAAGGTCATAAAACTTGATTCATTCTCCTCATGAAAGTACTAGGGGCATTCAATAGTCCAAAAGGCATGACTAACCACTCATAAAGGTTGGATATGGATTTGATGGTATCCACTTTTAAGGTCAATTTTTGAAAATACTTTTTCTCCATCCCATATGTCCAACATATCATCAAGTTGATGAATAGGAAAACAGTATTTGATTGTTGTCTTACTAACAGCTTGACTATACACACATCCTCCAAGTCCCATCTTTCTTGGGTGTAAAGAGGGCAAGTACTGCACAAGGGCTGAGACTCTCTTTAATAGACCCCTTCTTCAACAATTCATCTACTTGTATTTGAAGTTCAACATGTTCTGTTGGACTTGTATGATAATGGGGTAAGTTCGATAAGGGAGCACTAGAAATTTGGTCAATACAATGTTGAATATCACACATTGACGGTAGTTCACTGGGGAGTTTCTCAGATGTTATGCCATTGAATTATCTAAGAATCTCTATTAAATATTGGTGTATTTCTTCCCTCTTTTCTTGTTTAATGGCCTCATGGACTATAAGGGCATAAGCAATAGAACTTTCTTTGCAAGAGTCCTCAAATTTTTTAAGGGACAATAGACTACAATTTTCTTCCTTAATCATTCTTGAAGGAATTTCCTTCAAAATAGTCAAAATATACTTCACTCAATTAAGAAAGAGGGAATAAATATTCTTCCTACCATCTTCATAGATTTGCCCATCATATTGCCAAGGACGCCCAAGTAAAAGAAGGCATACATCCATAGGCAATACATCACACCAAATCTCATCACTATATTTACCTATTGAGAATTTTACCAAACACCTTTCATTAATTGGAACTTTGCCCCCTTTCTTAAACCAAGAAATCTTATATGGCTTAGGGTGTTTCTCACATTTTAAATTTAATTTATCAACCATCCTCCACTATATTTTTACAACTTTCTAAATCAATTAAACCTAAGCACTCCTTACCATAAGCAGTGCAAAAAGTATGGGAGATATTACCACGTAATCATTGATCATCTTCCTTACTCTTAGGGGCCATTAGAATTCATCTAATCACAAGACTCTCGGTACCACCATAGTTGTCAAGGCAACTGTCTATACCTCCTTAATGCTGACACAACCACCTCACAAATATTTTTATATCCCCTTGTACTACCATACCTCTATAGTTTAGTGCTTTCCCAGTCTCAAGCTTTATAGTATAGCCATCTGTTCAGCCCTTATATAGTCACTGTTTGCTGGAGAACAGCAGCATAAGAGGAAGAAGAAGAGAAGAGAAGAGAAGAGAAGAGGTTTGAGAATGGGCGGCAATTGTATTCCAGCCGACCCTAGAAGCTAACATATATATTTACAATAAGAGATTACATAAAAGGACTAGAATGCCCCTGATTAGTGATGGGACACCTAGACATAATAAAGAAAGATAAAACAGGTTTAGGCCCAATAACTAAAGGCCCATAATAGACTAAGGAACTTAAACATAAAAGTTAAAATAAGCCCACCAACACTTAACCACTCGAACCAACAGTCACCATAACCAATGATCAGAAAACATTACATTACAGTTGTATGGTAGGACAAAGGGATACAAAAGTAGTTGTAGGGTGGTTGACAAATAACAGTACTAAGGAGGTATAGGCATGTTGCCATGTGAGACAACATCTGGATGGGGTGGTAGGGCTTCATTTAGGGATTTCCCCAATTTCAAGGCTATTATCTTACCATCACTACTTCTAAAATGCCCCTACAATACCTTAGTTACCTGGATTGCCAAGACAGCAGCCATCAAACTTTAATTTTATATTGATGGGAAAGGGATTACCAGATCATAACAGTGGTATTTCTTGATGAAGATGATTTCACTACAACCTACCAGTTTGTGGCAATATCATCTAGAGAAAAAGACAACCGAGATGACTATTAATTATGTGTTCTTTCTTTTATTTAGGCACCATTGTTGGGTGCAGTGTAAAATCTTTGGCTGATAAGCATGAGAACGTCAGTCCAAGTCTGGAAACAGCCACTTTGTGCAAGAAGATGCCAAAGGTTGGGTCCAAATCCTTGAGTATCTAGGACCAATGTTGGGTAATGGCCCTTTAATTTTTTTTTTTTTTTGTTATCAAAAATAACATCAAAATATGCCTAAGATATTATGTTAGTGAATTGGGACTGATTATGAAATAGGGATTAACTATATTGTTCCGAGAAGTAAATCATCTTCTGTCAATACCAGTCCTACCAAATTTTAAGTGTGTCATTGGGGTCTTTTCATGTTCAGAATGGAAATTCTCATTTAAGCAAATCAAGTAATTAGAATCTCAATTCTCTGGACAACTATATTGCAGAGATGTTGTTCCTATGCATTATGAGTTTTTTTTTATTTATTTTATATGTTATTGCGGCCCTTTTTATAGGTATTATTAGTCCTTTATGGATGATATTGATGTTTTTTATTTATTCATATAGCAGCGGAGGTAGTATTGGCTTCATACCTTTTTTATTCTTTCTTCTGTTGCTCTCACCTCTTATTTCTCTACTGCAGTTTTTTTTTCATTTTATCAATTCAAAAATATTTTTTTTCTTGTTTTTTCTTCTTTGTTCTATTCAACAAGTCATATATTCCATTAGTTGTGATAGATTTGTTGGAACGTCTTTTACACTGCATTAATAAGATGTTGTATATTTAACTGGTCTGACTTTTAAACTTCTTTGCAGGTCCACTGCAACCATCACGTCGTCGATCTATTTTTACCTTGGCTACATCTATGATCATCTTTTCAGCAAAGGCTTATAATATCGGTCCTCTTGTTCCTTGTGTTAAGGTGTCACTTACAGATAAAACTGTATGTCCTTACTGCTTGTCATATCTTTTCAGAATTTGTCTAAATTGCAGTTCATGTAATAGGATGATATAAGCTTTCTATTTATGCCTTTTATCTGGGTTTACCTTTCTACACTTAATGCATATGTACTGATGTTGGCAATTCCATGTGCACCAAAGCCAATGCTTTTGGCTTCTTTTAACAACACGTGGAAATTCATGTACACACTCTCATTGAAGTTTGAAGTTTAAAGCTTGCTTTGTCTTAACTCTTGTAATGTGCTATGTTTGTATAGGTTGATCCATTTCTAAAGTTGGTCAGAGATTGCAAGTTACAGGCTATTGATATTGGATCTAGTCATCCTTCAAAGGTTTATGGATCAATAGATGATGATAGTGCTGCTTTGGAAACTCTATCTTCAATAAACATAACTGAGGACCAATCTAAAGAATCCTTGGCTGCAATTATTGTGAAGAGCTTGCAAAATTTGTCAGATGTAAAACTCATCGATCCTTTTTGAAAATGTGATATTTATCCTATATGATTTAAATGAGAAATATTTCAGCTTAATGATAAAGACTTCTGGCATGTCTTTGCAGCCAGAGGCATCTGCTATAAGTGAACAGTTGCAAAATGAATTTTTACCTGATGATATATGTCCATTGGGAGCTCAATTGTACATGGATACACCACAAAAAATCTCCCAACTTGGATCAAAGGACGGATGCCCTCTTGATGAGGTAATTATCTTGTACAGCTTTCAATATTATCTAGTCAACACGTATGACCTATATATGCCTGTTGCTTATGTGCAGATGATGCATCCAATATTTACAGAAGATGGCTTCATTAGCCCTATAACATTTGAAAGACAAAATGGTCCAAACTTGCAGTTATCTGAAACTGCAGATCTTTTGAGTGTCAACGAACTGCTAGATTCAGTAAGTGATCCATTCCATTAATCTATCATGTTGTTAGATAGTTTGGCAGGTTTAACAGAGAAATGCGAAATGGAAATTAGCCCTCAAAACATATAAATAAAGGCCAATAAACTTTTAGTTCACACATACAACTTATTATACATAATTATTCATTATGTGCACACTTCTAATCTAGCAGCCTAGGTGTCAAGTGGCTATATGATATGGTGGTATCTATTTGGTTGACTGGATCTGTTGATATCATTTCTTATCAGTGAATAAAATGCAACGGTTGATGTAGGATAAGTTAAGAAAATTTAGCAAAAGTACAGTTTTAGGCCTGTTTACGGTATTGAAGATGAAGTTGGATGGGATAATTTTGGACTATAATTAGGATGATTATGATTGGAAAACTAGGGTATATGAACTTACTGAGGGTGTTAAAGCTTAATTACCAAGTCTTTGCAGAAATATGCACGAAAATTTCAAGGAGTAATAGAGAAGAAATTTGAGAGAGCTAAGACTATAATGTAGTGCTTATATGCTAAACATTTATGCATGGAGGCAGTAAGGGTAGGACTGGTTTCTCCTATGGATTCAAAAGGTCTTATAGAAGGTGTAGTCTCTGATAAACTGCTATTAATAGGTTGAAGTAAATAGTAAATGTAAACTATTTAAATGATATTAAATGCAAATGGAAATGGAGTACAGATAATAGTAGACAAGGATCTAAAAAATTAAATTGTAAATATTAAAAGAATTGGGGGCAGAATAATTTTAATTAGACTTGTTTTTAGTAATAAAATCATTAATGAAGTTAGTTCTTATGCACCTCAATTGGGTTTATAAGAAAGCATTAAAAGGCAATTTTAGGAGAACATAGATGGACTAGTTAAGAAAATTCTAAAAGGAAAGAGGATTTTATAGAGTTTTGTAGAGAGACTGTGCTGAATGGGCCCTAGTACATCACTATGTTATCTTTTGTTTGTATCTGTTTTGTTTGGTTATTGGCCTTGTCTTTATGGGCCTGTTAACTTTTCTTTTTTATTTTTAAGGATGATTTTGAACTGGCCGGCCATTTAAGGGCAGATTTGTAATTGTCCTTATTGAGATAAGTTTAATAAAAGATTAGAGGAGAAGAGGAGAGTGGGATTGAACAATCTTCTTCCTCTCCTTTCTTCATCATCTACCTTTTCCATTTCTCTACTGTTTCTCTTCTTTCTTCTCACCTTTTTCACAAATAATCTGAGGTTTATTTTCTGATTTATTGGACTGAATTACATCTCGGTATTAGAGCACCTTTCCTTTCTTTCTTCTTTTTCTTTTTTTCCATACACCCTTTGATTTGGTAGAGGGCTTGGAGAGATAGAAACTGGTTGTAGATTACCAAGAAATTGAGGGTGCTGTTTTTTGCCCAAAACCCTAGACGACTAGAGAATTTTCCAGTTACAGGTTAAAGGGACAGTTTGAGAGTGGCAATCAGGGTTTGGAAGGTCACTTTTAATCCCTAGTAGAGGGAAGTTGAGGTTGGAGACTGTTTGGAGAGCTCTGGTAGGAGCGGCAGCTGTTCTCTCATTTCTCCCATGGAGTTGGGTGCAATGAAACCCTAATTTTAGAACCTTCTTGTGCGGGACTGGTTACATTTTGGTCTATATAATCCAAAATCATTATTTTTGGATTTTCATTTGACTAATGGAGCTGTTTGGAAGTGAGATGAAGGAAAACCCGATGTTCAGAGTTGGTCTAGCAGATTCTGTTCTGACTAGGGTGACAACAATTAAGTTGGATGGAACAAATTACTTGGCCTAGGCACAGTCCATACGGATTTATGTTTGCGGTAGAGGTAAATTAGGCTATCTTACAGGCAGTAAGGAGAATCTGGCAGAGAATAATCCTACATATGAAAAATAGATGCAAGAGAACTACACAATGATTGGATGGTTAGTTAACTCTATGCAGCCTCACATAAGTGAACATTATTACCTCTGGATGACTTCGGCTAAGGAAATTTGGGATAGTGTTACAAAAACATACTCTTATAAACTAAATATTGCAGGACCCTACAAGTTGAAGAATGATGTGCAGAATCTGAGACAGGGGGAGAAGGGTGTACCAGTGTACTACTCTATGTTGAAGTCATTGTGGCAGGAATGGAGACAGTTGTGTGGGAGAGCACCAAGGATGCAGAGACTTACAGGAAGTTAATAGAAAGAAACAAGGTGTTTGAGTTTCTCACAAGACTCAATCCTAAGTTTGTCGGTACTAGGTAGAACATTCTGGCTAAGGATGATGTGACCCTTGCTCAGGCATACTCCATTGGTTAGTAGTGAAGAGATTAGGAGGCAGGTACATACATGTTGGAAGCCACATCTTGACCTTCTTCTAGAGAGGTTTCAGAACAGCAACAATACTAAGAAAAATGGTCAAACTATGAAGCCTAAGAATGCAAATGTAGCTATTGTGCCCGAGGGTGGAAATAGGGAAAGTGAGGAAAAGTCTACAATACAGCAATTGGCAGCAATGAATGCAGAGTTTGAAAGGTATGGGAAGCTCATCAACCATTTGGAGACTATAGTTGCAGCATCCAACTCCTCAAGCAAATCTGCATATGCTCCACTCATGTATTCATGCTTCTACAAATCTTGCTACTTCATTAGGTAATCGTATAATCCCTTGGATTATAGATTCTAGTGCTTTGGACCATATGGCTAGCATATCTAATCTTTTCTATTCATAACAACTCCTTTCTGGCCGAGAGAAGATATCCCTTGCCAATGATTTCTCTTGCTTTACTTGGATTTACCTTATGAAATCCTGGGATGAATACCAACTATTGTGCAATAGTTTCATGAACTTACTCTTACCCAGTTTAACACTCAGATAAAAAATATTCCACTCTAATAATGCTATGGAATATCTTTAGAAAAATCTTTCATCTTATTTTGATGCTTTTGGGGTTATCCATTAGAGTTCTTGTTCCTATACTCTACAAAAAAATGGAGTGGTAGAGAGGAATTGTCATGTGGTTGAGGTTTCCAAGAGCCTTTTATTTGCCTCTCATGTTCCTATTAAAATGTTGTCCTTACAGCTACATACTTAATGGGTTCTAGGTTTTAAGACCCCATTTAGCCTTCTCTTTCCTGATGAGGATCTCTTTTCTCTTCCTCTTTGTGTTTTTGGGTGTGTTTGCTATGTTCATGTCCATTGCCATTAGAGACATAAATTTGAACCTAAAGCACACAAGTGTGTTTTTCTAGGATATGCCTCCACACAGAAGGGATATTATTGTTATGATCTTGTGCATGGCACTTGTTTTGTTTCTATGGTGTCACATTTGCAAAGTCTATCCCTTTCTTTGCAACTTCTCCTGAGGGGGAGCATTCTAAGGAGTTGTTTGTTATGTCACCAGTTGTTCCTCTCCCGGTTCCTCTTGAATCTTCCACTGAATTGTCTACTTTTGTTGGATCCCCTGCCATTGAGTCTTCTTCAAGTGTTCCTACTCCCC